AAGATGTCAGGAGCCGTTGCAAAAAGTTAAGGATTGACGGTGCGTCATTGTTTCGTATCGATTTACCTCTGATGGACACTAAAGCCCCCTCGTATCAGGATTCTATGAGGAGCTGAAATATTTTGCCCAATACGGCCCCCTCTTTCGCAGAGTCGTAGAGTGTAATATTCAGGAGGGTGAAGCGTTGGTAAACGTAGATGCCAACATTACGACACTGCCCAAGTAAGTCTATTATCAGCCTTTACTAAAACAGCACTGTCCTCACGTCGCACAGTATCCACGAATATATCATACATCCCTCTATCCTCGACGCTTGCTTCCATATCATGGTCCACCCCACATTCACTGGCGACGCGGATTCGACGGCATATTACTTGCCTTCTAACTCGAAAGGGCTGTGCTTCACAATGCTGATTACTTCCATCAACATGGTCTTGACTTCGTGCTAAGCTACCTGACACTCAAGTCTTGGAAGCCAGGTGAGTATATAACTTGTTTCGCCGCACTCTGAATCACAATATTGACTTCCATTTTAGGCACTCTTGAATTCAACATGAGGATCTGCGAACAAACTGGCCACGTTATTTGTACATTGCTTGGATTTCGTGGATAACGGTACGTTCTCAGGCGAGCCCAGAGCCCAGAGAGGTTCGTTCGGGCGATCCCCACGCTTATCGACCCTATCTCTCAAAAAAATGAAAAATAAATTCTGTCGCCGCCGGGCAGAAGTTGCCGACAAGCAGCAGTTGCCGAATTAGCGTGCAGTTGCCGAAATAGTGTGCAGTTGCCGAAATAGCGTGCAGTTGCCGAATTAGCGCCAGGCGACCCAGTCTGCAACGGACCTAAAGCCCACACAGGCACCTTCCATTTTGAGAAAGGGTCCGTATCACGTGCATCGACTCGAAATATCCAAAAATAATAAATTATATAATAAAGTCGAAATTATGTAATTACATGGGACTTCAAATTAATGGAAACTGTACGACTGTTTGCGTTTCTGAGATTTCTCGGGGGAAGGGGGAAGCAGGGCTTGCCTCTCGGGGACTATGACAGCACGGGAACGTTGGGAGGGACCAATGACCAATGGCACGTTCTCCTTGTCTTCGAGCGTAAGATCCGGTTGAGACTTCTTCGAAGCATGGTTTGATGGGAGCATTCTGTCGACTTTGTGCAAGAGAAGGGCCAGGGTCTCGCGGAAGGTGAATAAATCGTTCAATTGATCATATGACATGTTGACTTCATGATCTGGCAGGATCGCCGCCAAGTCACCAAGCTTCGGAGCAGCAGTTCTGGCTTCATGTGTGAATCGGGCCAAACTCTGGGCATCTAAGGCTTCCTTCGAAGACTTGATTATTGTCTAGCATCCCTGTACATTAGCCAGACTCATTTACAAAGAAATCAAGAACTTACAAAGTCCAGCTCATCCTCCGCATCTGTAGCAACACTCTCAGCATCATCCTCACATTCAATATTAGCTAATTCTTGAGATCCTGACACAAATTCATCGAGGTCACCCTCTATATATGCTTCTGGGACTTCGTTCAATAGATCAGTAATGCTTGCAGCAGCTTGTGCAATTGGTGCATCATCCAGCATGGATACTTTGCGGCTCGTTTCCATGCAACTGAGCTGTCGAAGTTGAGCTTCAGTTTCTGACCGTGGGAGTTGAATGAGTGGGAAATCACTTCCAGATTGACGAATAAAGTTCATGCGAAGCAATGCGGCCCGGATATGCTTGCAGGCTCCACCACGGTGAACAAAATCGGAGCAAGTACAACTTGCGGAGCCCCAGTAAAAGAGCTGCACCTGGTACATGATTGGGTTGGCCTCATGTTGACTACGAAGGGACGAATAGCAGTTGAAATATATTCCCTGTGGATACTGAGCCGGAGCACTGAGACAGCCTTGCTGTAATAGAAGGGTGGCAGCCTGATCCCGTTGTTGATCAGCAACCAAATACGCAACAACGGGGCCCAAGATGACTGTAGATGTCCTTCCTTTGATTATTTCATCACCGCCGGGGAGGGCCTGGATTCTCGCAATCCATCTTTGGTCCTCCATTGCTTCAAGGTGTCGTTGTTCAAATATAGATGGCAGAACTTTGAGCACTAATATTTGAAGAAGCATATCAATTCGTAAACGGCGTCCTCCACGCTGCCATCGTTGTAAATGTTTGCGCTTGAGGAGACCGTTGAAGCTTTCAAGATGGTTCGTGGTTGGAAGGACCCCCTCAAAGGTGCATTTGAGTCGTAGTGAAGCCATGCGACGCCCAAAATCTGCCCAGCTCTGCCACAAGCTTTCTGAGCACCAATAGCTATCCAGATATTCAACATGGAGCAGGCCCCGCTCACCAGCACTTGTTGTTTCCGAATCCACCTTCATGACTGTGAGGATCTCCCGCTCTTTGTGGAGCAATGCCTTCGCTTTCGAGAATTCAGTTGTCTGTATGAGCTCATCTTCGACACGCTTTAACCGTGCCTTTGTTTGCATCAAAAGCGGTGATTGTCCTTTTAGGACCTTATTCCGGTAGTTCCGCCATGACTGGCGTATATGGAATTTGCAAATAAGAAGCAAAACACCGGGGAATACAACCAATAGGGCCCCACGCTCCTTAAGATCCGTGTCTGTCACTGCAACCAGAACTTCGAAGCTCCGGCCCTTGAGTTTTTCCAAATCAGCCCGCCATTTTTGTAGCAGCTTTGTTAAAATCTCTGTATCATAACCAGAAGATGTTTGCTTGTTCCCTGAGGGCGCTGAAAAGAGCAGAAAAGCAAATGGGACTCCCTTGCCTTTCTCGTCGACAGCCATCAGAATGAATAAAAGAAGTTTACTGTCACAGATCCCGAATGTACCGTCAAGCATAATTTGTGATTGATAGCCATGCTTCCACGCCGCTTCCTTCATCTCCTGGGTTGCCACGCAGACTTCGAAACGTTGATTTAAGGCTGCACGTGCAGAATAATGGAAAACAGCTTCAGCGAGGATAGGGTTGTAATGCGATGATTTGGGATCAAGCCATTCATCAATGTTGATATGAGGTTTCTTCTGCGTGTCCACACCAATCATCCTATTATACTGCCGGTACAGTGCACGGGTATCATATCCTTTCATTATCCAGCGGTATTGCGAGCTGTGAAAGTCTTCATGTGATGGTTGGCCTGGATAAGCTTGTGCACGGAATAATTCACGGTTCCGTGCCTGTATTGCTGTAAGTGACGCTCCTTCATGCAATTGCTTCAATGCAACGGAATATACAGATGGGTGTAGGGGGATTGGGGGCATTCGAGAGATGACAGCTTGCTTGCATTCATCATTATGGTGAAAGTACCCATGTATCCTTTGAATCCTCCCGCTCTTGACCAAAATAGTAACTTCCGCATGGGCGAGGCACCCTGAGAAGTTATATGCGGTATGACGCTTCTTCGATCCAAATTGGGTGTGTTCACGCCCACAGTCACTAAAGCAGTATGTCAACAATTAGGTAGACAATAATATAAGACATTGTAACTCACCATTGGTAAAGTGTTCGACATCCCGCATGCTCTCCACTCCCATATGTTGCTGCCCACTTCACGCTCCATCGACAGGTCACATCCTCCAAGGCAGTCTCGTTGAGACCGTGTGCAGTAAGTCGTGATATTGCTTCGTTTTGTTGAATATCGTTCACAGCAGAAAATGTATGGTCTTCTATTTCGGTCCCTGGACTGCCAAGAGACGAGGATTCGTACATGGACTCCAAAGAAGCATGCTGGCCGGCTGTAAGATCCAATGATTTCCACGGAATCTTCGTGGCAGACCGCGCCGCAGAGATCTCTACACGGTCTCCGCGAGCTTCTTCGGCTGTTACAGTGGCCCAGCGAACTTCGAAGGGCTTTTTGTGGGTGCGCCCGCCACCCTTAGACTTAATTTGCCTGTTCTTGTATCCATTATTACGCGTCATGGGAAATAGAAGGTGTGTTGGGATAGATGGGGAGGTGTCTGGTTTCAGGGGCTCAGAAGGTTGATGTAGTGCACCAAAACATCAACAAACAAAAGCATTGTTGACGCGTCTCGAGTCTGAACAATTGTTAACTTAAGTTATCAGAGGTTATCCGATAATTTAGCGGCGTGCGGAGGCTTTCTGAAAATGGAAGGTGCCTGTGTGCGCTTTAATTCCGTCTGCAACTGGTTCAGTGAACAGTCGCGGCCAAGCAAAAGTCGCCAAATAAGCGCCCGTCACCTCTCCCTCCGTCGGAGAAAAAAGTTGGAAATTTGTCCAGTTGCCGATTCAGTGCCCAGTCGCTGGGCACTAAATCGGCGATTTTTTTTAGCGCTCAGTCACCGCGGTGCGAGGCAGGTACCCGCCTCACATAATAATAGGGTTAGGTAGTCTAGGATAGATAGGGTCGAAAACTGATGCGAGTAAACGCTTTGCATCCGTGAAGCAGACTTTCAACAATAAGTTCGCTTATGTCACTTGTTATTTCCAAGAATCAGGTGCGTTGTTAGAGGAGATGGACAAAGCCGGGATTCCAAACATCAAGTCGGCTACATTGGGAACTCTGTTTCTGCCCAATCTCCATACGGATACTCGCGCTCTCTATCACTGGTCCTACGAGAAAAATATTCGTACGTGATAATATATGACGTTGCACAATATACCAACGGCCAATTCTCCATAGTCGCAATTACATGTAGTGGATACGACATGCAGGAAGATATCAATGACATAGATGACATTAGACACTTTTGCGATAACATGGTGATGGAGGTGCCCCTTCCAAAATATCACCACACCTTGTTGGACATTCTGCAACATCACAATGTTCCGTTCTCTAAGTACGGTATTCGAACACGTGAGTTGGTCTCTGATTGTTATTAAAATTAGTGCTAACTGTGCCATTCATAGCCCATCCTGTATACATACAATACGCAAAGGCGAAAGATCTTCCAATCAACTTCATTGCTATCGGCGATGCAGTCATGCAAGTCAACGCATATAAAGGGTGAGCATAATGGGATGACACCGAAGGGATTCGAACCCCTGCCTGCATACACAGATGAGAAGCCCCTACTAGATAACGGGGCAAGCTTTTCGCTTGAGCCACACTCCTTGGATCACTCGGACACAGTGCCCTGTAATCATTGTACAGTTCAGGACATCAGAACAGTTTGGGAGACCGCGACTCAGGCCTTGAACGTCCAGCGACTTTCTTTGTCACTTTTCAAACGATGTAAAGCGATCGTTTGCATTGAATCCGATTCTTTGCCGCAAGTCATCATCTTTCAACTTTTGATCATAAGTATATTCAGAATATGTTATCCACGAGCGGCTAGGATTAGTCAGAATATTTACATTACGCTAGCTCCGAGTCCTCTCACCACTAAACCACTGTAACTTATCACAATGATGGAACCTATGGATACTAATACACGTTTGAAATCAACACTTTATTGCCAAAGGTCTGTTTGTATAAAGTGTATTTGTCCCGGAAAATATGGATAGAAAGGTTATTGAGAGTCCTGTCGCGCAAGTTACGAGAAACCATTTCCATAAAGTTCAAGTCAAATTGCAGCACAGCGAGTATGACTGCGCCACGGAAGATCTTCAATAAGAATCGGGGACACCAAAATCAAAGTGGTGACTTGGCATAAGAGATAAATGCACAACTGTTGTCCACTGGTCGACCTGGAAGCCCTGGGCCCCTACTCCATGAAGATTGGTTCAGGCCCACCGATGCACAAGGCATGTTTTTCCCATGAATTAACCCAGAATTCTAAGAGACTGTTGAGCTCAAAGTAAGACTTAACATGGAACCTATCAGATGTATGTTCTTCTATCAGCATAGCCGCCAAAAAGCGTGGCCCTCCCCATAGTCCATCCAGCGAAAACTCATTACACCATCCCAACAAAACCACAAACGATCTAGGTTCGGATGACGCCTTATGTGAGTCTTCTTCAATTTTCCAAAGAGTTCCATCTAAAGCCCAAAAATACAAGCAACACTGGGGAAGCGAGGTCCATCTGGTGCCTCTATCTAAGTGAGAATGATGATCTTCAGACATTCTTGCAATTTCAAGTTGTCCTGATTGGGGACGAACTTGAATCGCTTTCCTGGAGATTAGGAGATATCCAGTGTCGTCCATATGCCCACGGGGCATTGGTATGGCCCGTGTGTCCAAAAAGGCCGGACGGGGTACTCGGTTGGCCTGTTTCTGCCCTTTTGACGCGTAAGGTTGAAGATGCTTTAGTGCCACTTGTCCTTCCACGTTTGTACGCGGAAACATAGGGAAGGTGGAGAGCTGAGGGTGTGGTGGTATATTGAGTGCAATTCCGAGCCAGCTTGCCCGGCCACCCTTACGCAGAATCTCTCGCATCAGTGCAATTGTTGCGCCCAAGCGGTCGTCCTTAGTAAATCTACGTGTATCAAGTGTGACGCCGAAGAGACCCATTATGCTGAACACCATATCAACGGGACGGGAGGACGCACGGAATAGTGCACTCCGCCAGATAGCAGGTGCCTCCAAGTCCAATGCGCGCTCACCAGTACGAATGGCGTTTTTTAGCATAAATATAACAACCTCGTTCCTCTGTTCCCACCGAATATTTGCGAAAGGTTCAGTAGGTTCACCAAATACTCGTGTGTGGAAGACGGAATGTACCCCTCCAGCAGTAGCGAAAAAGTCTGTTGAGCCAAAGCCATTGAGGGAGAGTACTTCGCGGAGAGGTGTTATGGCGGATTTCCCTGGTATTAGCTCTCCGATATTCCCTCGAAAGCGACCATAGTACATCCCAGAGCCATACTGCCAGGAATAAATAACCTCCACACGTGGGGGTGCAAGGGCTTCCTGCAAAGTCCATCCTCGAGTTATCCAAGTCGTAGTTTCGTCCAGGCGTATCAATCGCTGAATACCCCCAGGAAGAACGAGGCACAATGTGCTACCTTGGTAGATGGCAAACATACGCTCGATCTGCCAAGCCTTGTCGTTACTGTCGGTTTGCATAATGCAAAGCCGGTCTAGCCATATGTATGGAATGTCCTCACGGAGAGCAGCAGTACATGCATGTAGGAGAGCCTCCACACCTATAGGATCGCCGTCTTCCGCGCCCGCAACGATGAAGCGCGATCCAACCGTAGATTCATCTACGCTATTTCCCTTCCAAACATAGGAGATGGCTGCATACGAATAACAAGAGGGAGGAAACTCGGTGAGTTCGCATATTGATAAGGTCCGATGGTGAACATATCGTGCACAATCCACAAGACGGAAGTGACAAGCCGTGGCAGAAGGCGTTATATCGAGGACGGGAAGATGCACCGAATCGGCCAAAGATTTCAAATGAACCTCCAGAATGATTTTAGACATCTTGTCTCTAAGCTTGACTCTAAATTGACAATCTGAAAGGTGTCACATCTGGCAGCGTCTGACTGAGCGCAATTTCATCTAAACACACCTCGTTTCAGTCAACTGAATGTTATACTGAAAACGTCGGATAGACGTTGTGGTACGGGACAAAGGATGGCTTGTGGTACTGGGGGTGGGCAACGCTGGGTCAGGGCGTGTGATGCTTATATATAGTGTTGCCGTGGGTTTGGTGTGGTGCCGGCGGCACCGAGCACCACGCCAATTTTAGACCACACCACACCACGCCATTTTACTGGTTACCCCTTGGGTCTCGCCCCATTGGTGATGGCGTAGGGCGGTGGGAACCCCGTGACGCGCTGCTTTTGGGTACGAGTCAATGAAATCTTCCCCGACTTCTAAAAATCTAGATGAATGAAATGAATTATTTTTAGAATAGGATTTTATGGGGGGGGTGCAAGAACTTTATTGGATACCTGGTTGACAGATCTTACTATATAAGGTCCGTGTGTGTCTTCTATTTCCCCTGTTCTTTACGTTTGATTCGCTACACATTTTTAGGTCTCGTAATGTTGCTTACTTTTTTACCATTTATGGAACAATCCCAGTAATCAATTCTCGTAATGTTACTTACTTTTTTCAGTATCCTAGATTCTAAACAAGAATATCTGTGTATCCTGCTTTTACCGAATAATCCATGTATTTGACAGCATTTCATTGGCCCACACTTCAGTCTTGAGTCTCGAGTTGCTGAGTTGTCAAAGTGATAGGCGGGAGTGACAGCGTGATGTGCAGCCCTCGTTTCGACTTCCACCATTAGACTCCAGCAATCCTTCACGTGTCAGTAACGACTTATGTAAGTACCTTGTTTCCTTCATCCCTGGTGTTGTGTCTGATAGTCTGGGTATTATTCAGGTTTTGACATGTTCCGATCATCGTGAGTGCAGGTTTAAGGCAGCCACTAGACGGTAATGCAGGCTCAAGGCTCGAGAACATGATAATAAGGACATTTGGGTATGTCTCAACATAGTGTTTACGTCCTGGAGTTCCCCCATTCGTTCCAGGGTTCTTCTCGTCGACTACAATCAGAAACCTCGAACACCGACTGACAGTAAAGCAATGTCACCATAAAAAGCCATCTATGCCAGGTGGACTTTCTAACTCATATGCCCGGCAATGCCGTCTAGCCTCCATGCTCGGGATCTCCTGGAGGGAGCCTCCTGCGTCCATGTGAGAGCTGTTTGTCCCATCTGCACCGCCCCCCCTTTTTTTTTCCTTATTTCTTCTTTCTTTCTTTTCTCGGCACCCGCAGAGTCGCCCAGCCACACGCGGAAGGCTGCTGATCGGGTTCTTCTTTCCATTCTCCCTCTCTTCTTCTAGCACCCCGGAATTGCCTAGCCACACGGAGGACAGATGTTCGAGTTTTTCTTTTTTCTTTATATTTATTCCTCTCGCACCATAGCTGTCGTAGTCGTTATATTTTTGATTACCTTTCTTTAGGCGGCCCTTTCTTGAGTTGAAGGGTTGGAGTTGCATGTGAAGTGTTATCAGCTGCTTGCGCAGTGATTGTGTACGCGCTCTCTGTGACGTAAGAATGCAGAGTGCGTGGTGATTATGTGCTCTTTGTGGCCTAGGATCTCTTTCATCTGCACGCTCGCTCGGGTCGCATCTCCGACCGATGGGCTCTTCGTAACAGTGATTACTAAAGTGACTTTCCGAATTCACTTGGTGCTCACTTTCCCTGCCAATTTAAAAAGTGAGCACCTTTCATCTAGGCTCACCATTTCGTTGTGTAGGAATGCCTCTCTCTCGAACTGAAGTAATATCGCTTGAGCCACAATTTATTAAACAGTTAAAGAAATTGTCAATTCATTACGTTCATTATAAAACGCTGATCCGTCAAAAGTTAAGTTACCCGGAATGTTAAAGTTGCCACAGAAATAGTATCTATTATCAGTAGATAACGTAATCTGCTCACTGAGTTGTGCATAATCATAGCGTTGTATAAATTTTGGGTACCCGCAAGGCCGGAGCGTGTATGATTATTACATAAGCAGTTTGCCTATTCGACCCTTGCGCATAATGTTGCCGCGGCGCCACTTCGGTGTAATGGTGTTTCGTTATTTCACGCTCTCTGAGAAAATTTTAGGCAAGCGATAAATTTTCAGTAGTTTCTTAGGTCAGATAGAATCAGGAAATTGACAGTTTTCAAGGGAGTTCCTTGCAGGAACGGTCGATGGGAAAGAAACACTGTTATGCCAAAGTGACGCTGCGGCAACACTACTTGGGCAACCCACGTGAACAGATTACGTTATCTACCGATAGTAGATCTGCGGCAACTTCAACATTCGGGGTAACTCAACTTTCGACGGATCCCGCGTTTTATAATGAATGTGGCGAGTTGATGATTTTTTCAATTGTTTCTATAGATTGTGGCTCAACTGATATCACTTCAGTTTGAGGGAGAGGTCTTTCTACACAACAACATGGTGTTTACTTCCCCAAATCAAAAAACACTGCCTACCATTCCCCAACGTTTTGTGGACTCACATTGGAATACGGCAGACCTGAAGAATACATCAACGTTCAATGGTATTCCAAATCTTATCCTTACCATCGCCCTCAGCGCCGATCTAGACTTATTTGAAGAGATTATTTTCCGCCGACTGCAATTGTATGGGGATTCATTTCCAATTGTAAAGAAAGGAGAATCATATTCTTTACTACAGGATATCATTCAAGAATGGCAGAACCTCGAAATTGCATTAAGA